CCATTTCTATTATTTCAAAAAGCTTTGTAATCAACTCTTCCCTAGTCGGTATTCTGTCTGTTTTCCAATTCTTTGCTATTATTATTCTTGAGATTGTAATTATGTACAGTATAATAGATAACTCATTATGTTTAATCCCCTCTGGTGTGATATTAAGTAAAAAGATTTCTGGTGTGATTGGCAAATTGATTCCTATAATTTCTTCTATTAACTGCTTAATACTTTTCTCGAATTTTTGTATTTTCTCACACCTCCACCAGATATGAATATACGTTCCTATGTAAATCCCACCTCTCTATAGCCTAAATTTTTATTATATTATTTTTTTCTTGTAATTTACTTCAGTTATGTCCCAACTCAGTGGGGACTCACTGGGGCTTATAGCATTCTCCTCTCCTTCATTTTCTCCTCACAACAGCCCTGTGAAGCAGACTAAACCGAGAGAGAGAGTGACTGGCCCAAGATCACCCAGTGAGCTGAGGGGGATTTGAACCTGGAGCCTCCTCCATCCCAGGATGACGTTCGAACCACCACTCCACGCCATTTAGCTGCTAGCTGGAAGACCACTCAGGAGTTTCATTCCCGCTTCTTCCAGACCGGGGTCTGAACTGACCCCGGATCACACACAAATGATACAAAATTTAAGGCTTTGTCTTAAATATTCTTTGGATTTTAAGTCAGAAAAGGAAAAGTGCTTTGAGAGGTAGGCAAGAACCAACAGTTCTCTAGAGAGCAGAACATTGAAAATGAAATGCTAAAGATGTCTCAGCCGAGGGGAAGAGAAAGATGGATTTTTTAAAAAGACGGTTCTCTCCTTACCTGACTGCAGCACCAAAGTGAGCAGAAACAAACCCATCACACCACTGCTGAGCTGAGCCACACAAAGAGTGCGGGGGAAAGTGTCCGTGACACATTCATGTGGCCATCCCGTGATGGACGGCCTTTCATTTTTCCCACAGGAAATCCCCTTGTGTTTCTCTGAAGGGGGGGAATCCCACATGTTTACCGAAGCCCACAACAGAAAGCAGAAGTGAGGGGACTGTTTTTTGCCAAAAATGGTAGAGCTCTGATGGGGGAATCCTGTTTGGCAGTTGGCCACTTTCAGGAAGAAGTAAGGGCTGCCGTGTTCAAAGGCTGTTCCTGTCACTGTGATTTGCTTGTACGGCTGCCCTTCAGGGTTCAGCTCCTTTCCCAAGATCTCCAGGGGTTAAATCACGAAATGGCAAAATGGGCAGGCCTTGTCTCCTGTGCACAGACTAGGGCTGCCAACCTCCAGGTGCTGGCTGGAGATCTCCCGGAATCACCAGGGGGCAGAGATCCGTTCCCCTGGAGAAAATGCTCGGAGAGTGGACTCTATGGGATTTAGCAGAGTCATTCATTTTCATCGGTGACTACCATGAGGAGAAAGCCTCACTAGAAAGGAATACCTGACCTGTGTGCAATGAGAATGGGATATGAAATGGGTAATAAAAATGGAGAGAAAAGTGAGACATAAAGTTTGAATCCAGTGGGGCACCTTTAAGACCAACAAGGTTTTATTCAAGGTAGAAACCTTCATGTGCACACACGGGACTGTATCTGAAGACATGTGCGTGCGCACAAAAGGTTATACCTTGAATAAAACTCTGTTAGTCTTAAAGGTGCCACTGGAATCTAAATTTTGTTCAATAAAACAAAGAAAACATTAGGTATCTTTTCAAGATGGGATGCAGAAAGCCCAGCTACCAGCTCTCTCTGAGGCTTGGTAAGAGCAGCAGGCCAAGCAGGGCAGCACCCTTATGCAAGGGTGCCTAATGTGTGGCAATCTGGTTCTTGAATACAGATGGCTGGGGGTGGGGAGAAGAAAGCTGCAACCGTGTGATATTGAATGGCAGTAACCAAAGAAGTTGTTTCTCCAGCAGCTTAGGACAGGGGCAGTCTACCTGAGCCATGAGAACTTGGGATTTCCGGTGCCCAGCTCTTCTCAGCTTGCCCCTGTGCTAGTTGTTTTGCTCTGTGCCAGTCTTTGTCTCTTTCTCCAGGGATCTCAGGGTGTCTTATTTTTTAACTTTAAGTGTAGTCCACCTTTCTCTCTGAGACTCAATTCAGATTACAAAAGTTAGCAATGCAATAGAGAACATTAAAAGACATCTCTCCTATATTATAATTGTGTTTTAGAGAGGCAAGATTCGATGCGCGCCAAAATCAGTTGGCACCCTGATGTGTCACTCACCAGGGCTCTGTATCCACTGGCTGCGTGGCCAGAGTCCTGGCCACCGTCTCAGGCTCAGTGTGGTGGGAGTCAATGGACGGGCTGGATGCTCCAGCGGGCGGCGGGTGAGGAGGCTGATGCCGACTATGGCGCTGCCGCAGACACACATGCACGCACCCAGGACGCAGAAGGCAGGCAGGGAGTAGTCCAGGGGGGTTAGTGGCTGCGCCGACCAAAATCAGAGACTCAAAAACAAGAAGGCCCATCTCAGACTGCGTGGCTGGGAGGAGCCTGCCTGGAGGACACCCGCCCCAACCCATGATCCACCCCCTGACCGCGGGAACAACCTCCAGGGACTGGCCCAGCTCGAGAGTGACAGCATAGGCACACTCCAGCCAGGCTGAGAGGTGCCGCCAAGGCAGCAGCCCACCTGGCCTGGGGCTGCATTGGGCACCTGGCGCCTTGCTCAACTGCCCCAGCGCCCCAATCGCGGCCGTTGCCTGCTCGCCCACCTGCCTGCACCTGGGGGGACAGCAGTGGTGGAGACACACAGCGCCCGCCCCCAATGCCATGCTCAGCCTTGCCCCGAATACCCTGATCCCCAAGGATAAGCAGGCCTGGCCCTGGTAAGAATTTGGACAGGACAACTCTACTGGGTGGCCCGGGGGGGGGGGGGGCCTGCATGGCAGGCAGCCGGCGAAGGCCACCCCACCACCTCATAACTGCCCTTGGCTCAGATGGAGGCCACAGGAGGGATCCACGCTTGGTGCCGCTTCCTGGGTCCTCCCAGGTGTGACTACCTGCCTCTCCCATCCCCAATGGGAGAGTTTCTTCCCCCAGGCGGTTGCCCGGGCAGGCGGGGACACGGTCGCAGGGCCTCCCACCTCCCCTCGGCCCCAGAGTCTAGGGATGGGGGAGAAAGTACATTGCCACGGAGCAGCCCTGTCTGTGGGCAGCCAGGTAGACGGGTAGCCATGGCTGTGTGACAAAAAGCTGAGAGGCTGTGTGCAGGCGCCTTCACATATCTGGAAATGCGTTGAGCAGACATAGGCCTGTAACCTTCGCCTCACCTCTTTCTAGAGCTTATTGTATTGTTTTTACAACAGGCTTTGCTCCTAGTATATAATAAACATTGGGATAAATTGCATTTCAAATCAGAAGACAATGCTATAGAAATGGTATAAGACTAAGGCATAAAAAATGCAAAAACTGGATTACAGAAATCAGAAAACAATACAGAAAAATCATGAAATGAGTAAAATAGGCCAAAGTCCTTATTCCTTTATTAAAGCATCCTGTTATGCCAACTTCTCCAGGAAATTCCTGGAGACCCAATCCAAGTTATCTACCAAGGAAGTTGGGTGGTTGTGGCTGTGCGTAAGTTCTATACCAGTCTATACAGAGGTCAGATGGCCAATGAGACGCTCGCTATATCCCAGGAAGTGAGACAACACGCTAGGATTAAGAATAAATGTTGTCTTTACTAAAGGCTTCTGCAGTCATACAAAATCAGAATCACTCTCACAGGTATACAAGCTCCTTAGTTACAATAGTGCATCAGAACAATTACAGCATAGAAAATAACAAAAGCATCAAAATGGGGAAGACACAATGGGGCACGGCTATACTCATCTGAGGTCCAGCTGAGGAAGAACTCTCCTCCTTGGAAGGATGGGCAGCCGAAAGCAGCAGCTTGTGAACTCCAAGGCACACAGGTAGGACCAGCCAAACCACGTGTGAGCTCTCTGGGTCGCGACTCCGGAGAACTTAGGTAGTAGAGTCACTTGTAGCACCTTAGTGCACTGCTATGGGGAAGGTGGGTTAACCAGCGAGACAAAGGAGAGTTTCTCCTTAAATAAACTCTTTTTGGGGGCATGTGCTATCCAGCCATAAACTATCAAATCCGTCCCCTAAACTATCACTACTGGATGAGGGGGGCTTGACGAGGGGATGACGCTCTACTAAGGGGTGGTGGCAATATGCAGATCCTATCCCTACATCAAAGGTGCCTTTTGGTGAGGTGTGAATCTTCCGTTCCCATGGACACCTCTTGACTTGCAGATCTGGTGCCTGCTCCAAGGCCATAAATGCTATTGTCTTCAGATCTCCAAACCAGATTAGGTGCAGAGGGTTACGTGATTCCTGGCATTCCGGTGATGTCGGGGTTCGCTGGGGGATTTTCCATAACTCTCCAAGTGGGTGCAATGGCGCGGTGTCTCCTCTATCCCGATGCAGGACGGGATACCTTCTCCAGGGAAGCACATGGTCCGTATGTGCAAGGCAGCCCCAGGCCAGCCTATTTCTAGGCAAGCATGAGATGCAGAACAAAGCAACACAACCAAACAGCAGTCCCTGAATACACAATGCATAGACACACATAGACAGCATCACCACTATACAGAAATACAAACATAAGTTCATATAGTTACAATCCTCCCAAACAATTCTGATTTCACTGCAGCTCTGTTCTTTTTAGTAAAAAGCCCTCCTAAACAATGTGGTTTCCCTATCCCCTGTGTAATTCTCACAACAACCCTTTGAGTAGATTTACCAAACAATATCTCATGGTCCTTAGGCATGACGTCACGTCTGGGTTTCCCCAGAAATGATGCAACAACATTGCTGATGGCCAACCATCCATATCTCTGCCCCACCTCATCTCCCGCTGGTTGCCAGGCAGTAGACTTACTGATCCATGAGAGATCTAGAAGTGCAGCAGGTAGACTGGGTTAACCAGGGCTTTTTTTTTCTGGGGGAACACACCAGAACGGAGTTCCGGAACCTCTTCGACAACATTCTTTTAAAAAAATGTTTAAAAGTTCATGAGCTTTCAGTACACAGATTGAAAACTTCGTTTCCTTCTTGAGAGTTCCGGCACCTCTTTTTCGGAGGAGGAGGAGGAGGAGGAGGAGGAGGAGGAAGAAGAAGAAGAAGAAGAAGAAGAAGAAGAAGAAGAAGAAGAAGAAGAAGAAGAAGAAGAAGAAGAAGCCCTAGTTACAATGTTCCCTCTAAGCTGTGGAGTCTTGTGAGCAAAAATTCTACTTTGTGAGCCACTGGCATTAAAGTTGTCAGCGAGTGATTTGGCTACTGCATAAATTAGTCTGCTCTGGAGCCATCCTCCCTGAGCGAAGACAAAAATGTGTGAGCCGGGGCCTTAAAAATTGTGTGCTAGCTCACACTAATTCAGCTTAGAGGGAACATTTGTTACAACTCTCCTCCATAAATTAGGCTGTTACGAAGTCCCTTCCCCATATCTGCGGCAGCCTCACCCCTTTTTTCCTCCACTAGCAACAGAGCTGCAGAGAGAAACTGGCAGTGGTTGGGTTGGATCCTGCAGTTGGGTTGAATCACCTGCAAGAAAGGAGGAAGTGAGGCCTTGCCTTCCACTGAATCACCATAACAATGACCCGACACCTCTAGAAACACATGGTACCGTCATCCTGGAGGCTCATACCACATTCACCAATGTCATCCATGCTCCAGTGACATAAATCTGGGCGGGGCTGCAAATGCTTTTGAGGACCGTCTAATAAATCCCAGGATGATCTCAAATGGGAGGGTTGAGTGGACAAAAATGGTTTCTGATTCGTTTATTTAAAGCATGTTGGTGGCCCCGTTCACACGGGCCAGATAACACCGGGGGGGGGGAGGCGTGGCTCTTTGTGCCAGTGCAATTAGACCCGCCAGAACGCAATCAGACGCGACGGCGGCACACCGCCGGGGGGACCGTCAGCGCATGTGCGTCAAGGAGGACAGCCGGGGGGAAAGCCGCGCCGGCACGATCACACTGAACGATTCTGTCGGCAGCC